CGCTTGAGGTGTAATTGTCGTCGCATCTATTGATTTCATCTCGCCTTCTCCGTCGTCTTCCTCATTCTGTGTCGAAAGCTTTTTCTACCCTTTTTTTTTCTATCCGTGCTCCTTACCTCTCTTCCTTACTCTCTCATCATGCTCATCTGTCTCTAGCATCCGTCCTACCCTCAAATCATCACCCACCATGTTCCCTACGAATCTTGCACGGTCTTCGCTTGATACTTTAATCTTCTTTTGTGCAGGATATTTCTTATCTGCAAAAATGATGTCCTCTTTTCTCTTCCCTTATCTACTTTTTCCACTACCCTTTTATTCCATTACCTCTTTGAGCGAGATGCGTTTGAATCTTCACTGATTTTTTTTCTCTCGTTCTTTCTTCTTTTTCCATGTAGACATTTACCGTGCAACGATGGTAGGATTGTTCCACTAATAGATCAGTCTATGTCCGGCCCGTCTCAAATCGAGATTCTGGAAAACCATCGGGAGCTAAGGAGTTTATGTTATTCGTTGGTACAGAAGCCACGGTTGGGGTAAAAGATATGGGGAGCAGCAGCTCCACCGGTCGTGCGGGCGAGGCAAGAGGAGGTTGTCAAGATATGGAAACTATGGGTGGGTGGATGAGAGAAGGATTCTCCTGAGATTAGGAAGAGACGAGGGGAGAGGGCACTATGGAAACCCAAAAAATAGGGGGTGGGAAAGAAGAAGAGATTTCGAGTCGAGAAAGGAGAGAGAGCTGAGCGGTCATGTTTTTCTTTAACTTATTTCTTTTTCTTTTTTTTTTTTGTACTTTAAATTTCTCTGTTTTCTCTATCGGGAGACGTTACCCAATATCGATACCCTAGTAACTTCATTTTGGGTCTTGGATTTATTCATGGATTGGTGTAGTGCTGAGTAAATGCAGGGCTAGGGATGTGGCATATAATTATGTTGCGTACCACATAGTTCGTAGTTTTAGGCTCTTTGCTGGGCGGATTTGCTGGTTTTGGTGATAGAATATATTTGGTATTCTTGGGCGAGAGAGGCCTTGGTGCAAACCTCGAAACTCGAAGAACAGGGAACGCACTGCATCTACAGCTGAGATCGCGATTACTCAACCCGTGACTATAGGTAGAGATGTAATGGATTTCATAGTACTGGCTCTGATTACTGATATAAAATGATATAAAGAGCGATGGAACAGGCGTGAAAGACAAAACACCAACAGGATTGAAACCCAAAGCTCGAACCCATCAATTTCCCCCCTAGCCGCCTACCTCTTATTAACGCAGAACGCAGATGCGCCGCAGTGCCTGATAATCAATCCAATCCATTCCCATTGTTGATGGAAAAAAGACCTCCGACGTCCGGCAAGAACAAGATACCTAATCAAGAAGCGCTGATTCAGTGTTTGTGTGAGTGCAAGCAGAACAAAGAGAGGAAGGAGTTTCTTTCTCGATCCAAGTGAAAAGCAAGCAAATCGAGCACATCGAGCACATCGAGCACATTGAGAGTTCGAGGAATCAGGTACAGAATTCAGACTCCAAAAGCGATGGTGGTGATGTACAATATCTCCCCGCAAGCTCCAGGGGATACGGAGATTATCAATGAATTAACAGAAGCACGCCTCCCGTGATCATGTCAGTGTGCAGAGAGATGAATAACAATGACAGAATAGAGAAAGAGGAAGTAGGCAATGAGTGTGGATGGTATATTGTAGTATGTGTGTACATAATTTGTCGGAGAAAACAATAGAATATAGAGCTGGTTGAATTATACCGGCTGAATTTGGTCTTCGTTCACATATTGTGGGCTGGCTCTTCAGAATGAAGAGCTCCCGTGATCCAAAATGTTTTCCCTGGGGTCATAACGACATCAATAGCGGTAGTATGGTGATTGTATTTAAAAGGGTGGGTATCTGAAACGCATAACGATGGTGTCGGAATCGGTAGCGACGGCGTTGGAAGTTCCTTGTCGATAGATCGATGGTGATTTGTATGAACTACTTGGCACGTCCCATGATGTCTTCGACATCTTGCTGATTGACGACCACGCCGCCCTCGGAACACCGAGCCTTCATGCGCAGCTCTGAGCAGAGGTTGTCGACATCGAGTTCGCCATTGCGGAATTTCTCCATGGATTGCAGGCGATCCCTAGACTGTGTTAGTATACCTTGATTCATGTCACGCGATGAAAGAACGTACCATATCTTGGTGCAACTCATCATCTGTGTCTTGTCTTCCCCAGGAACCACCTCATCTTCGTCCAGCTTGCTGTCGATCTCGTCAATCAGACTCCTCTTAGGCTGTTGCTGTTGCTGTTGCTGTTGCTGCTGCTGTTGACCGGCCAATTCGCTGAAGTTGTGCGAAGGACTACCCAAATCCGGCAACGGGAATGCATCGTCGAAGAAAGTGCCAAAGTCTTGTGACAATATTGCGTCTTGTGGTTCGCGCCAATCTCCGAACAATACCGGGTCAAATTGCCCACCATTCTGCTGAGCCAGAATCTCAAGAGCGGGCTCGGGAGCAGTTTCTGCCGAACCCTGCTCAGGTTGACTGGGCGTGTTCGCAACGCTGACACTGCTGTGCCTAACCGCCGGGATAGGATTTTTGATATTGCCACAAGCCATACCGAGCTGTGCGCAAAAGGACTCCTCGCCGTTGATTCCATTATAAGTACAGTTACTGTGGTCAGTGTGGTGCTTGATTGCGGGCGAGTTGACAGATGGTTCAGGAGAGGTGCCGCTGGAAGAGAGGAACTGGCTTTGGTGAGAGTCGGACGAGGAAGACGGAGAATCAGAATTTGAAACATCTTGTACAGAAGGTGCATGCTGAGTATTGTGGGTCATTGGAAGCTTGGGCGTAGTACTCTTGGAAGCCAAGCGTTCACCGTTAGACTGTGACATAGGGCTAGGCGTATTCGTCGCAGATCCATTGGTCTTGATTCCATTCAATGAGTCTCGACTCAGAACACCAGGGACACGGGACTCGCTTCGTGAATTGACGTCGTTCTTGAGCTTGTTGTTCTGTTGGTTCTTGCCCCATTGACCATTGTTGAAGATATGAGCACCTGGAAGGTCGCCAAATTTGGGGAAGTCGAACATGAAATCATTGTTCTGAAGACCAGTGTAATTTCCCTTGGAGTAGGCTCCAGGGATAGCGTTCATAGCCGAGAGCCCGTTTGTGCTGGTAACCCATGAAAGACGTTTCCGGTACTCTTTGAGTTCAACCTGCAGACGCTCAATCTGGGCGCGAAGCAAACCATTTTCCTGGTTCGCATCATCCGATGCCTTTTGCAATTCATCCACCTTTGTTTCAAGATCCTTCAAATGCTTCTCCTTACGCTCACGGAATGCCCGTTGAGCTGCGCGATTCTGTGCTTTACGCTTCTATAAAGGAATTAGTACAGGGATGGAAGGGTAGATTACTACGAACAGCGCAGACAAAACGTACCGAGGTGGGTTCCGAAGTCAATGGCTTTCTTCCCGGCTTCTTGGCTGTCTTGTCATCACTCTCCCTTCGTTTCTTGCCAGCGCCTTCATTTTCTTCGGCAGGGCCGTCCATGTCCTTTCTCTTCTCGCCTGCTTCATGTTCGTCCGGCAGAGAAAGTCCTTCGGGCAAATCACCGATCAAATTCTCCGTACCTTGAAAGTCAAAGTCAAGCTCTGGATTGAAGTCGAGGAAAGGACTTTCGTCATCACCATAGCCCAAGGTACCGGAGTTGGGTTGGGTGATGTCAAACCCAGGCGATACATTGTAACTGCTCGAGGATGCATTACCGGGGGTGGAGTCTGGCTCTGAAGTTGATCTCTTGATTTGGTTGTTGGCTTGCTGTTTGGGCGGAGGATTGTTGGAAGAAAGCGCGGCCAGAAGAAGGTCTTGCTGGTCGGGGGAGAGGTACAAGCTGTGTTGATAGAGGGAGTTGTAGTCGGCCATTGTGAAAGGAGGATACGGGTGGTGCTGGAAGGACGCGTTTTCGAAGCGAGAATATGATTAGGCTAACTGGAAAGAATCGGTGATCTGATAGCTACGCTATAGCGTCTCGTATACGAAGCTGATAGGATCAAGTGTCTTGTCAAGAATTTCGATTCGACTGTTCGTTGAGCTATCAGGGCCGGGCTTCCCGCCCGTTCGTTGTATCGATGTTGACCCCAGAGGCTAAATGGGGTGATCGACGGGGCTCCTGAATGATAGGACCCGGAAGAGGAATGAGAGACTCGTTTATGGTAAAGAGGCCAATATCACCGAAGCTGAACTCTGCGAAGACTTGTTCGAGAGGTATTAATGATCAAGGTAATTGAAGTGATGCAGAAGTCCTCAGTGGAAGAGCCTTGCTGGGATTCCGAGAGGTAAGAAAGGATCAGGGACGTTCTTGACCAGGAGCCGTATCGAAGCAACTAGCAAGCGAGTGCACAAGCCGCAACAAAGGCTGACGAATGGCCGAAGGTACCACCGGGGTTGGGGATAGGTCAGGAGGAGAAGAGGGGCTCGGAGAAAGTGTGGAATAAGGAAAGAAAATGATGATGCAAGCCGGTGGACTGACAATGAAAGGATGGAAGATGGAAGAGAAGCGTAGAGGGAGGGAGGGGGGTGGGGGGTGGGTGGGCGAGGCAGGCGAAAGGACACTAAGGCGAAGACGGTTTCAGGATCATGGGGGAATGATTCGCTGCCTGGATCGCTGGAGGACTTAAGGACCTAAGACAAGAAAGGCGTAGTTCGGGGAACTGAAGGGGAAGTGGTGAGTCTGCAAGTTGAGGGAATACTGAGTAAATTGGATAAATTGGATGAAAGAAGAAAGATGATGGAATGGAGAGGGCGGAGGGACGGAGATTGAGGAGGGGGGCGAGTCGCTGCCTAAGGCGGCAGAGGGCGGTGAACCCATATGTGGATGGTCATTGGTGCACAGGAAAAGCGGGGGAGGCAATTCAACCAATAAAGGTAAAGTGCCTAAAAACCCTTGAGAAGGTCTCGCCTGCTTATAAATCGAGGCTGACGATCCTTTGAGTCTTTTTTTTCTCTCTTCGCCCATTCTCTTCCACGTTGATTGATTGGTTTCACTCATTCAGCACTGATATGAAGAAACTGCCTATCGGGGATACACGCGGCTTCCTCCGTGCTTACTACCGTTGCACCGTTGCACTCAACCATCCCCTAGTTACTGCAAAGTGCAAACCACGCCCTAAGTTTCCAACTAGACAATCTATTTGGTTCAACAAGAGTGACTCATCTCGCGCCACAACAAAATTCCCCGTGATGAATGCTGCTACGGACCGTATTTGTACAATCGCGGAATGTATGTATCTGCGTCTTCCGATCATCGGGGCTCTCGTACCACTCGGGTGCCTCGGATCGCACATTCTTCTATGGAGATGAATCAATGAGGCTCTGTTACGGTGGACCATTTCGAGAAACGCCGAGAGCAGCGAGCAGCGCTCGTAAATACTCATAGATCAAAAAGAGGTCAAGATGAGGCAGCTGGGAAACTCAAATCTCATCTCGCCGGAACTGCTCATCTCGGTCCAGTGCCACCCGGACAACCGGGGTAAACCGTGGGGATGGAGGAAACAGGCTCTCCTAAGTTCACCATCCATGGGTTGATCGATAAAACCCCAGGCACGAGGGAGGAAGCGCGGGTTGGCGTTATGCTAAGTATAGCAAAAACGCCATCTTCCAGCGACTAGACCCATCCTGCATTATCACTTTCGCCGTAGAAGATGGTGTTGAATGATTGGAGTTATTGGCGGATCCATCTTGACCCTGCAGGAGCCAATTACCCTCCCCATCGGTTTGCAAAGGTCCCGAAAATGAATGACGTGAGGATCGACTACCGATGGAACGGACGCCAACTAAGCCTCGACCCGTAGTGGGTGGATTGCCCTGATGGAGTCTGGCGTTTGTGCATGGCCGCAATGGCCCCGATGAAGCTTGGGTATTGGGTGCAGTGTTTCATAGTACATAGGACAGGATGGTGTTGACCGTCACGACATGACCTCGTGTTTCTGCATTCATTGACGTGTGCAGTCTGTCAGCGATAAGCAGCATGAACGAGTCCACGTTTACTGTCGGACTCAGCCGACCTTCCGCTTCAACCATGTGGCGGTGTAGTTAGAAATCACGTGAGTGACTAGCCACAGTGGGGCTCCGCCACGCTATCTTATCCCAACGCGACTTCTTATCTGCAACTTCGCGATTCAGCCCAGCCTGTCTTGGTTTGACCATCAATAGACCGCCTCTCCTCATACTTCTTCTCTTGTCCATACCCTCTTTCTTCAGACTCATATCAACGTTCTTCAGAAATATGTCGGAAATAGCAGCCCTGGAGGCTGAGGTCAAGGAGTTCAAGCTTCAGGTACGACCGCCGCATTTTTACCACCCTCCACTGGATCTGACCATCATCAGCTTGAAACCGTCCAATCGAGTTTGCAGGTAGACCCAGACAACACAGAATTGCAAAGTCTCAAAACTGAGCTGGAAGAACTTATAAATCTTACCGAAACATCCATCGCCGAACTGAAACCGCCAGCGCCACCAGCAGTACCCCAATCAGCCGCGGCGAAGGACAAAGGAGCGAAGGACAGTTATAGCACACAGAGCAACTATCGCAAACCGACCGCTGAGCAGCCCGATGAACCGGCACCAACCTACCAGTCGTCCTTCTCCGTCAATGAAAACGTTCTTGCGCGCTGGGTATCGGGCGATAACTCGTTCTATCCCGCGCGCATCACCTCCATCACCGGCTCCTCGAGCAACCCCGTCTACCTCGTTTCGTTCAAGTCGTACGGGACGGTGGAATCTCTGACTTCCAAGGACATTCGGCCAATTTCCAGCAATGACTCGCGTAAGCGCAAGGCTGATGCAGGCTCAGGCAATTCTTCTTCCCAATCACCGGCACCCCAGCCATCCCACTCGAGCGTGATTTCTGCGGCGGCGGACATCAACCCTGCGTTGGCCAACCAGGCGCGTCAAGAGCCGACCAAGGTGAGCGAGGGATCCGCACGGCCTACCAAGGCCGCCCGCAAGGTGAAGGCCAACAAGGAGCTGGAGGCGGGCAAGATGAAATGGAAGGATTTTGCCAGCAAAGGGAAACTCGGACGCAAGAAGGAGAGCATGTTTCGAACAGGAGACGGATTGAATGCTCGAGGTATGCTCTTCTCCCACTTCCTACAATGTGGAGTGCGTTTCAATGACTGACTCGGGCAGTGGGCTTTACGGGGTCCGGCCAACAGATGCGCAAAGATCCGACGCGATCGCGACACGTCTACCAGCAAGGCGAGGAAGAAGGATACTAGTTCTCTGAGTGTTGATCGATGGGATACATCCCGCCGTTACCTCGTGTCCTCTACCATGTATCACATCGCTAACGGGCTATGGTGACAGATCTAGTGCAAGTCGATCCTGTCGCAGGAGCGGGGGAGCGATTGTCGATGTCCACACTTGATGTGGTAGGATACCAAAATTATTGATAACGAAGGACTTTCTCTTTGTAATTTATTCCATTCTTATTCTATTTATTATGACTGCCATGAGATGGACTTTTTCACGTCTTGCGCCTAAAGCACAGGACAGCCGTTGCTATGCTTCTGGTATTGCACGCAACCTAATCAATGCAGCTCAATGTGCCTCCACGTATATAGTAGGAACGAAGCATTCGAGAGAAGATGGACAATGAAGTGCTAGGAGCCTTATAATCGTCGTCGAGGCGATGCCTAGTGTACAGTGCACACAACCCTTGATTTCACGATCTACCAAGGCCTTGAAGGCTGCAAGTAATGCTTTCCTCACCTGACTGTTGTCCTCAGCACATGAACCTGCTCAAGGCGGCTTTCAGGAGGCTAGAATTATTGGAGGGACAATTCTAGCGTGGTTCACAACCCGCACAGTCAGAGGCAGAAATCCGCATCGCATTCACAAGCACCCAACACCGCCACACTCTCAAGATCACTTTGCTTGCAAAGGTGAGCAATGAACTCTTATCATCTCTTGAAGCGTTGGCGTGTCACTTTAACCCTTAATCCCACTGTGACTGTCTCAGACGCCTCCCACATGGTATCTACCTCTCCTAGGGTCGACAGTCCTACGAAAGTGCAACATGGCCGTTGATAGTCGCGAAGATCGTTCAGGCTCTCTAGATCTCACCGGTATTTGCAGACTATCTTTTAATTGCTCCTATGACCAAGAGAATGTGTGTTTTGTGGATCAAATTCAGGACTCAGACTGCTTGGTGCAGGCGCCAACAAGCCACAGTGTGGCACAGTTAGGAAGTTGCAGTGCGTTCACCAACACATAACCATGTCTAGCAGTCAGCAGCGCAGCCTTGTAGTGTTTGTGCGCCAGCCTTGAGCCTTGCAGGCTTTCACTTCACTTAGCTTTGGGAAGACACCCATACCAATGGATGGTCTTTCAAGTATAGCCCCCGCAGGCAACACTTGCGCCATGTGCCATAACAGGGTTCAACTACTGTTGCCTTGTCCTTTGGGTTCAATCGATGTTCCAAGAAGAAAGGATAGAAGGTCAAGGGGAAGAAACTTATAAAAGCCAGACTGATGTCGCGGAAACTTCCTTCTCCTACTTCCACTCCAGTGCACACTCTGAGGATCATCCAAGTTATCCAGCATCGACCGATCAAGATCACCCACGCTCATCCGCAAACATGACTTTCGAAACCATCATTGAGTCCTTTCAAGACTTCAACATCAATCCGCAATTCCAACCTCTCTGCTTCAACCCTCCAGCCGACCTCAAAGCAACTTGCAGCTCTCTCTCAGAGACCCCAACCTATCTCTTTCGCGTGGCATCAGCGAAGACTAGCGCCCAAACGAGCAGCACATGGGTCCGTCCCAAGAGCACCCTCCCTCACGGGGAAGACATCTTCTCCAACCTGAATGAAGGCAAGAAACGAGATCGCATCGCCGCCCTTCTGAATGACCATCTCTGGTGGAAGGAGCCCCCCAACGACCCCTTCGTTTCATGGACCAGTTCCCTGCTCTTTGCGCTACAGTACATCTACTTCCGCCGCTGGAGCTACCGCGACGGTTCGCCTCTGGACGAAATCAACCTCTACGTGATCGACACCACCGAGTTCCCTCGCGGAACTTTCATCCGTGACCTGGACTTGCTCAATGCCTTCCTCGAGAATGATCCGAACCCACAAGGCGACAGTCTGGCAAAGCTGAAGGAATTCCGCGATGCGAAACTCTACTTTGGCGAATATCTGTCGCAGGGCGCGCTGCAGATCGAGGGCAGATGCCAGGTGATCAATGCGCAGTCCCTCTGTGAGGGCAACCGGCTCCGGCGCATCCAGCCCGCATTCGCGGATATCCAGCTCCCCCAGCAGAGACCGCTATGGGCGAACGAGGTCCTTCGCCTGCGCCGGGTGTTGGCGACACGCAGGCAGACTCACCCTGCCGTACCGCATGATTGCATGCAGGCGCTCCGCGAAATTGTGGGCTTGTTCGAGAACCCAGCCTGGAGACTTCCCATGGCGGTATACTTTGCAGCGCTGATGGGGGATCTGATTGAGACGGCCACAGCAAGTACCCCAACAATACCCATCGGGGTATCCGCTGCTGCATTGCTCGAAGAATTGCGATCATATTATGAATCTTCCGGTTCGCCTCCTCCTCCTCCTCCTTCTTCTGGATCTATGCCCTTTGAGTACGGACAACGGATGGCTGACTATACTCGTGCCTTAGATATCGGTCTCGATTGCGACCAGCTCAAAACGAAGATCATCGCCCCCGCAGCGATGCCCGAATTGATCCAGACCGAGACGATCTTTCGCCGTGTCCACAAAGACTACACTCTGAGGAAGGCACTTGGTCAGTTTACTCTCTCTTGGACGATGTTTTTGTCCTAAGCATAGATAATCGTCTAACCAGAAGACCAGATACCCTAGGCAAAGCTAGATCATTCCTCGGAAGACTCGGGGGCATAGCGGCCACCGTCTCGGCGGTCGACCCAGACCGAACAGCCACGAAAGAAATCCTCTCGGAGGTTAACACGATAATCAAGGACTCGAGGTTGATAGTCTGCCTGGATGCGTTCCCACAGCGGTTATCTAGTTAATACGTCCCCTCCAGAAGGGCTGGTGAAGTGGCTCAAGATCGAACGTCTAGATCAACCCGCAGTTTAGCGAGAGCTTATCGGGGGAGAGGGGGGGGGGAGGGATGGTCACTGGGGCTATCACTAAAGCAGTTCTCCGGTGTACACTACGGTCCACGGTTCTCCCCGATCAGCTGTCTGTCCATTGAGTTTTTAATCAGCAGCTCGGGTTTGGCAGGTTTCTTGGACTCCACTATGCATGCATGTCTGCGCCTTGTTGGTTAACTTAGTTTGCTTGGGGGTTCCATCATATTGATTTAAGGTTCTGGGGGACACGTTAGAGTTGCGATCCGTTGGTGTGGGAATTGAAGCTTGTTTTGACTTCTCATCCTCGTCCTTGTTCTCGAGTTATCGTAGTCAACAGGATCCTATGATTTCTGCTGAAAAACAGCACAGTCTGCCGTTTTCACAGCGTTGCGTACTGTACCTCCAAGAAGTCTAGTCTCGCAGGTCCTTCAAAACCCAGACGGTGTCTCGAGCTCATGGATACAATTCCTCCCCACGATTCTCTCCGATCTGATTCTGAGGCGAACATTTCACCGGTTTATTAGCACTCAAGAGGACCGATCTCTTCTAGCCATGCAAGACCATGGACCACCGATACACGAAATCCGGCCATTTCGTCAGCGCAAAAAGGGGAGGAAGTGGGAGAGTAAGGCCTGGAGGTTTCGATGCACCCTTGCGCTTGCCGGCGCAATTCAACCCAATAACTCTTTCCTTGGGAGTAAGCATGGTGATCACTTATGAGCCTGGCTCGAAGATAAAGCAAGCCTCCGAGTGATGCGTTACGTGTATCTGCTTCCGGATCCTGAACTTGCGCTGTATGGTTGGCTGTGCTGCACCTGCCATGGATACCGTACAATTCCAAGGGGGAAATCAATTGAAAGGTCTAGGATGTCCTCTGCTGGAGTGGCTTCAACAGACAAGATGGTCCGACAGTAAATGCCTCGTACGTGTGTTGATGGTGGGCTGTTGGGTACCCTCCTCAGAGTCCTCACGCCATGCGCCACGCTGTGGCATCCCTACAACAATTCCGCCATTGAGACAGTCCGAGCGACACGCTAGTTTGCCAGCGGCATCTCGTGTCCTTCTTTCCTCTACAAGCTAGGTGCATCGTAAGAACAAACAAGAAGATACAAATGATCAAGGTAATCGTCATAGATTGCTGGAACTGATATGCCTCCGGTCCATCCAAAATAAGATAACCCCCCCCAACCGAACCGGACGCCACGCTCGTCAAAATCAACTTGCATGAAAACCCCTTGTCAAGCCATTTCATTCCCATCAGTGTCGTGTCACTCCACAGACAACATTTGCGCCATTGCAAATTCCAATGCTGCTGAAACCAGGAACCAGAAAGAAGACAGAAACAAGAAATGCGACCTGCAGATCCCTCTGATGGGTTTACCCCAAGAGGTTTTCAACCCTCAAATAAATATCGCGTCAATCCCAAAGCATTGCGTGGTCTCGTCAGTCCGCCGAAGCGCGCATACATAATCATACAGCACAGCAGCCGCGCATATAGCGTAATAATACAGCCCAAAAAATGCTCCATCGTGGGGAAAAACAAAAAAAAAGAAACATCGAAATCGAAAGAGACAAAGGAAAAAGAAACGAACAAGGCTTATAATCAATCAATGAATTCAGCGGGCAAACTCGGTCCACACGGTGGTGAGCCACCCAGTCGGGGTACTCTCTGGAGAAACTGTGGCTGGTAGTTGATCATACTCGCACCCCTCTAGAAAGGCAAGTACATCGTCTCCACCCAAGCTCGTTGACCACAAGCTATTAGTGTTAACAACTTCCAGTCCATCCACGGTCACTGGCGGGGAGGCGCCAGGGTGGCCGACTGAGCCAGGAGGGGGCAACAATGGCAATCCATGTGATGACGCTGCCGCATTGATCGGAGGAAGTGATTGAGAATAAGGAGGAGGTGGCTGAGTGCGATTGAGCCAGGAATTCAACGGCTGCAGGCGGTTGGAAGCTGCTCCTGGACCATTGTACTGCGAAGACGCCGGGGTCGATGTAGATGGCGGAACGCCGTATGGTCCAGGCGGTCCCAGCGAAGGAAGGTTGGGGGACGACGAATTATACAACGACCCATCCGGATGGTGTTGCAAAGACGGGAGAGAGTAAGGGGATTGAGATTGCAAGGAGCGATTAGGTGGCAATGGAAGACTAGGCCGACGTTCGCCGTCGGGTCCGGGCAGCGGCATACCAGGGCTGTTGATAGGGACCCAAGACTCACGTCTGCCCCCCGCGCCATCTAAGGGAGGCTCTCCAGTGTCTCCAGTCTCGCTGCGGACAGCATTACTGCCTGCATCGCTAAGGATCGTAGCCCGTTCACTCGCAGCAGCAAGACCGTCATCGTCGGCGCCACTCTCTGGAAGTTGGTCTTCGATAATACCAAAATCAAGGAACAACTTCTCCAGAAGCTTGAACTCCTCAAGACCGCCGCCCGATCCGCCCTCACGTACAGGGCGAATTCCATTGGCGTGAGCATCGGCCGGGTCAGCCGGGTCCGATTTGCGCGATTGCCGCCGAAAGTCACGTTTGACCTTGGAGAAGTACGTGTGCAACCGATTCAAAGTGCGGAACCAGCCACGCGCCATCTTGAGGCGAGGTCGCATCTCACGCAGGACATCAAGTGCTTTCCGGGCTTGCGCTTGTCCCTGCGTGTTTCGATCGCTCATATTCTTCGAGGCCAGTACCCCATCTGGGTCCATGTGCGGAAAATGAGCAGCGTAAATCCCGATGAAGACAGCATTGTACACTGCGAACCCCACGAGAGGGTTTTCTACCAGCACTCCTCGATCCTGGCAAGTCACGACCAGGTCCATCATTTGTCGGGCCGCGCTGAACAACACCCGAGCACTTTCACGCCAGAACCCATCAGCAAGTCCGGCCTTTTCCATTGGAAAGAGCGGCTCATCCAACGGTCCGACAGGTTCGGTGCATCGTACCGGGAGGAAGGGGATGTAAGCACGGTGAAGAACAATCACCGACAGGAAGTGGACCACATGCATGACAGTGTAAGGAGCGAGAGTGTTATTCTTGTACATGATGTGGGTGTCGGTGTTGCGAGGAGAGTACTGAAGATTGCGGGACAACCCATCCTGGAATTCGCTCAGCATTGCTCGAAGCTTCGAAAAGCGTGACTCAGGGTGCCACGGAGGCCATTGCTCAGTTCTACTCACGGTCAGAATAAATCGTGCTAAGGGAATGAGCGCAGACATACCTTCTCCCCCCAGCACACGACCATTTGGCGATGCTGCCCCAGATGCGAATTATACGGATAATTCGACTGTGGACGGACTCTTCAGCACCGACTTCCCAGCGATCGATCTCATCCTCACTCGAGTCTTTCCGACGGGAGATAGGAGACCACGCTTTTGCATCTCCCGGACCAGCACTCGGCATTCGGTCGTCTCCTAAGCCTCCTAAGCTTTGTCGAATGCTGGGAATCTGAACTCCCTGAGCACCGAAACTTGTGGGGCGACGCACTGCGGGCTCACTCAAGCGTGACGTTCGAACACGTTCTCCAAAAGCAAAGGCGTTATCACTGGGGAGCTGGATGGCGAGCTCCTTGACGCGAATCATGCGAGGGCGGTACTTGCCACTGCTCAGACACCGGTCGAGGATGAAACAGGCCCAAAAGGTACGACGTTTCGTCTCTTGGGCGATGACATCGTCGGAAGTTTGTTCCCGTTGCTCGACAGGACGCCTGGGGAGCCCGAATAGGTCGGCTTCCGTTTTGAGAACGGGAGATCGAGGCCCCTCACGAAACGGCATCTCATTCTCCAGCTCAAAGGGCAGACCCATCGCTTGAGAAAGCCGAATGGCCATCCCCACGTATAGCCAAGCACTCCTCCCACGGCACATTCCCCATTCATGCAAGGCCAGCATCAGCAAGGCTTGTACGCGCGTCAAATCGGGCACTGCCAGACTAGCACCATCAACGCCGGCCAGCCGGCTGCGCAACGCTGTCGCATAATATTCGGAGGCAACTAGAGGATTGGAGGGGTTTCCAGGGGACGATGGAGAGTGGTATGCGACAAGTTGAGGGTGAAAACGTGCCGTAAGAGCGAGTACACCGAGGGGAATGAGCGGGTTGAGATCTGATTTAGTCGCAGGAGGACTTTGCGCGGGATCGCGTGTCGCATCGGCGTTGTTCGGTGGAGAGGGGTTAGAGGAATTGGAGGAAAGCTGACGCGCTTGGCCGATAAAAGATGCGGGATGTACGAAGGGTAGCATAGTCGCGAAGTGGGATTGGAAAAGATCGAAGACGGCATCCCAAACTTTGTTGGTCAGGATTGATGCATCAAGCACATCGGCACCAATCCTGGACGCATCTTTAGCAGCTGTAGAAGAGAGACCAACGGTCTTGCGCGAGCGTTGTCGCTTGGGGCTGTCCCAATCGCCGTTGCGCTCCTCGCCCTCCGCCAGGGCGGCAAGGTCCCGTTTCGCGGCACCACCGCCCATGCCGATTGCGGGGGCGGGATATACACATTCTCGGCCAGAGGACTCACACGCGCGACAAGTTGTGTCAATGCCAGCGTTCACACATTTGATCTTGCTCCGCCGACAGCGAGCACAGGCAATACTAGAGCGCATTGTGATGAAAAGGGTGGGCACGAGAGACGGGCAAGCCGTCTCTCTGATAAGATACGAAGGAAGGAAAGGACGGAGGGGGCAACGATGGTGGGAAAGAAGGGTTGGAGGAAGAGGAGGGACGACAGCCCCAAGGACTGCAGGCACCAAGAGCGAAGAGGTAGTAGCAGTAGTGGTGGTTTGTGTCTCCGCAGGTCGTTACAGTTCCCGTCCGCCGTATTTCTCCGGTCAATTTTCCCCGGGATTCCGAGCCAGACGCCAGACGGTCTGGGTTGCAAGGGGGGACAACAGCGATGCCCGGTCTTTTCACGGGCTGTTGTTCGTTGTTCGCTGTCAGTACCACAACCCGGTTTTTGAGGGGGGAGAGGGGGTAGAGCTTTGAGGATCCACTGAGGATGTCCGTGACGAAGCGTGCACTTACAGATCTTTTGAAGGATGTTTATTGGCGTAGGATCTTTGCGTTCTGATGCCGGTAGCACGCAAGGGGAGTCAGGTCTGAAGCCGGGAAGTAGTCGGTCAGTTAGGAAATAGGTGTGGGAGTAGAGGCTGGCGACAGCGATATTGCGATGTTCTCAACCAACGCAGCAAGATGGTAGCAGAAGGGAAGGTGTAGGAAAGGAAGGCGAAAAAAAGAAAAAGAGAGGAAAAAAAATCAAAGAAGTCCAGTTGGAGTGGAGAGGGCGTGGGATGAGTACAAAAAGGAAGAGAGTGGCCGTAGGTAGTAGACGGCCGGGGAACGGGAAAAATGAAACCGAATGCGATAGGCGCGAGAATTCGGGCACACGAGAAATTAAATTAAACCCCCGATGTAAGCAAAGTGTGCGACTGGGGGAGAGAAGGTGGAGGAGGGGGGAAGAGTGGAGGAGATGGAAAAAAGGAAGAATCCAGATGGAGTCTGGTCGGGTAAGAAAGGGAGAGTTCGGCGAGGCTAGTGTGGGTGTGGGGGAGAGAATGTAAGGATGAGAGGGAAGTGTGGATGGATGGGGGTAATTAGTTAGGAGGGAAAGAAGAGGATGGGGAGGGAAAAGACAACAGACGCATAGAGTAATGGGCAAGTAAAGAAAAATCCCTTCACAAAAAATCATGGATATGATTAAAAAAAGATTCGAAAAGAAAAAAAAGAAAGGGAAGCCACATAAAAAGCATAATGATAAAAAAGAAAATAATAATAATAATAATAATTTGCAAAGCGCTAATAACAATGAAGAGAACAAGCAAAGCAGGCAGGCAAGCAAGCAAATCGCCAGACTAACCGTAAAGACGGAATACGCGGAGTGTGGGGGAGAGCCCGACTCTCTTCTCGCCCAGGGTCGGGGCTCCGGTCCGGCAACGCGCGCGTGGGTTGCGCAGGGGACAATGTCTGGCAACCTCAACTCGGGTAGATTAGGGAAAGGGAAGCTTGACGATAGATGGAGAAATTATGATTCAAGAAGCCCGGGGGGAGGAAGGGAAGGGAAGGGAAGGGAAGGGAGAGGGGACTAAGAGCAGTATTAGTCCCAAAATGGCTTCTATTCAAGGCGGACTGGCCCCATCTGACGATGATGATGATGATGATGATGATGATATAGACAAAGAAGAAGTTGAAGAAAAGAGAAGCTGAGAAGTCCGGCCGAGGGTTGAACAGCGTCAAGGGAATCCCAACCAGGCAAGGCGCCATCCGCATTTGCGGAGGCCCGACAAGATTTAGTCCGGAGCGGGTCTAGTGCGGCCTGAGGATGCAAGGACGCGACCGAGCGGCCGGAGAGAATGAGAGTGTGGAGCAAGATTCCGAGTGCCGAGATGGGAAAAGACTCAGGTGAATAATGAATTTCCTGGAGAGAGAAGTTGAAGATTCTGACCACGATATGTTGGACTGGCTATCTTAATAGATAAAAATCTACCTATAATAAAACGGAAATAATAGAAACAATTGAAAGTACATCCTTCGTTCTCTCTGCAATGGCGGTTGAAAACAAACAATAATGAAAAAAAATCAATTTATGAGTACAGTACTTCGTACATAAGAAACAAAGCCCAGCAGCACCACCCGTGAATCAGGGAAGAGTCCCGAGTCGAGTCGGGTAAATTACCTACCCTCCTAGACAACTTGCTGGTTGGGTCACGGCGTCACGCTGGGTAATAATACACGGACTCGGGTGCCAGTTGGCGGCGACAGCCGATGTTGCTTCGGTATGTTGGCTGGGCCATGCCGTCTGGTGTTCCTCCACTATTCAGGTACTGTACGCCCGTACAATCAATCGCCCATTACCCCCATGAGATCAGAAGGGGGAGTGTAGTGGTGGGAGAACCTTGAACAGGAGGGAAAAAGAGGGGAAGAGAAGCGAGATGGATCACAAAGATCATCAGGGAAAGACTCATTTTGTCGTCATTATTGAGTCTCACATACTGATTGATCATTTACACCCAGGCCAACTCCTGACTCCTGATCTGATCTGATCTGGTCTCTGGTCTGGTCTGGTCTGGTCTGGTACCGACCGACCGACCGAAGGACTGAGAGACAGAGAGACAGACAGGATGCCGGTTAGCAGCAGCCGTGTGTGGAACGTCACTTGACCGCCATCTGGCCCATTCCATTACCTAACTTGACCTTTCCCCAGCCCTGCTCCCGGCTTATTGTCGTCGATCAATGTCAGTCCCCGAGCAGTGACTGATCAAGTACTCCGTGGAGGTGGATCAATCAGGGTTGTTATGGCAAGTGTCGAAGACAATTATTGAAACGAGGGTCTCTCTAATTGCTACAATAACACCTCAGGAGACGATTAGTCGAGTTGGGGGAACGGGGGTACCCAGAAGACATTGACACTCACCCCCTTCTTCCCCCAGTGAAAACCGTTACAAAGAATCCGGGGATTGCATGACGCGAACCCCCAAAAAGACAATACCGCCGACCCGGCCACCGCGAACCCATCATCCCTCCCTCTCATCCCTCCCTTTAATCAATCCCTCTGTTCCATGTCTACATGACTACACGACTCGACACATTAACATATCCAGCCCCGACCTCCACAACAATCCAACCATCCAACCACTCTTACTCGGGCACACGGCCTGATCGCTTGGATGCTGCCACTGCCGCCAGTCACAGCCCACCGACTAACCCAGCCACAATACCCCGGAATGCAAGTCTAAACTCAACCCCAACCCCAGAACAGCAAGTGACACGGGTCAATCCCCGGTTAAGCCAAACGGGACGGCGAAGGGTAGGCGACGGAGGAATAAGAACGACAAGGAGGGGCAAAAAGTAACGGCAACTGAATCTCAGCCGACCACAATTCGTGATAAACCTCGGGTATCGACGCATCTGACGGGCGAGCCAAGACGCCCAGGGCTGACATAGCCAGACGGCTTCGCAATTCTCGTTTTCGTGCTCCAGATCTCAGTCCTCTCGTCGCGGAGGGTATTCTCTTGTCGGATGTCTCTTTTCCCACCTCCCCTGCATCGGATCTCCCCGCGGGGGAGGAGAGCGAGATGAGATCACGATCAGCCCGGGCTCCCTTCGCTAGGCGCCCGCGGTCACTGGCCGGACACCCTATGCAGCACAGAGTTGTCTCATCTGCTTTCCCCCCTCCTCTTCCTCCTCCTTTCCCTGCTGCTGCTGCTGCTGCTTCTGCTGCTTCTTTCTTGGACCGGACTGAATGAAGAGAGGAAGATCGTATATCATCCCTGACGGGATTGGTTGCCGTCAGGGATATGGTACCCGATCGACAGAGTCCCGAGGAATCCTACTCGCTGACATTCAAGCCTCAAAAGGCCTGTGCAGCCCGGTGGTGGTCATGGACCCCAATTGGTTATGCACCCCCAGTCCATTCTTGAAAAAATGTTACCATTGTCATCACAGGCTGGTTGATAGGTACGGTAGGTAGGTACCTACTCTAGTACCTCTACCTAGTACCTAGTATGCTGCACTTCTCATTTGGGCGAGTCAGCTCATTGTACTGTAGTTACCTCAGTTAGTACTAAGTCTGTACAGTACGTATGATGATTGATCCTAAGCCGACCGATCGGAGCCAACCCGGCAAGTCCCCGCGCCCATTTAACCGGTTATCCCGTGGCCGCTCAATCGGGCCAACCGGGGATGCTGATTGGTCTCCACCGCCACCCGAGGCATCAAGCGAACCGACCCCGCAATCACGGAGAAAGGCTGAGGAGCAACTTTTAGGAACAATGGAAATTATTCATTAGTCATGTCTGCCCTGAATGGGGGCAGCCAACGCGCGACTGGTGACTGCACAAGACAAACCCCCATTCCCCCAACCCCCCCCCCCCCAAAATTCTTCCCCCTCCGGAGGTCGACCGATGTGACGACGGAGAGACACTAAGACTGAGGAAGGAAGGTCCCTTCTGCCACTAAGCCACCACCTGCCCACCTGCTGATGTTCTTTCTGCTTGCAGTAAGTTCATCCGCCGCCTGTTAAGCCGCCGGGGTTGCTGGCTCGGGAGTCTGACGACGAGACCTTACCATGGGTGGGATGAGGAGACGCTGGTCGGCAAACCAGCAAGCAACAACAATTATTCCTAGCCCTGGGAACAGGTTGTCTTCGGCAGACCATCACATGCACCTCTGAAATACGGAGAACGACGAGTCTGGTCTGCATGCCAGTGACCCGAGGATCATCATCCCGACCCCTCCTCTCAGACAGACGGTTAGACTAGACAGCCACAATTCTTTTCTCTTTCAGACCAGGGGAAAGAGGTTTTCATCACAGTGACCACACGGGAAGTGTGAAAAATCGAGAAAGTACCAACCACAAAAAGAAAAAAAAAATCCCCAACGATCCCATGACCTGGCCCCAAATCAAATCCAGCCAAGCCATGCCCAGCCAACCACCACGCGACCCCCTCTCCACTCCGCCCAGTCCTTTGAGAGTCTTACAACTTCACCAAAGTGACTCCAAGGCAATGAAACCTATTGAAGCCCTCTTTCTATCCCGCTTTCGTCATAGCTCGGCTTTTCTCCCCAGGTGTCTTCCCCCCCGAATCGGCCAGGCCCGCCAGTGCGGTCAATGAACGGTCGACCATTCGTTGGCCTGTCCATGCCACGAGTTGCACTAATCCGAACAAGGCTAGCTGCCTCCCGACGGAGCACCTCCAGAGTGGCAGAGCCTGGAGCTCGACTACCTTTTCCAGGCCTGAGGCATCCCCGATTCTTCTCCGGTTGCTTCGGGGAAAGAAAAAGGTGGGGAGCGTTTGTCTGGTGGGCACAACTCTTTTCCGGGGCCGCATTTTATCCATCAATTCCCTCACTTACGGGTAATTACAGATGCTGAACTGACAGCTCGTCAATTTTACTTGCTTACCATGCGTACCATGCTGCTAGGTGCCGCCCAGGCCTTCCGCAATCTAGTCGTTGCAATGGTTGCACCTTATCTGGCTTGCACCATCTTGTCTCGGATTCACCAGATGCACGTGGGTTGCGCTCAACCCTAATTGTTTGCCGGGGTTGTATGGAGCGCTAATCCATCCTACTACAGTCCAGCAACCGGATACTTGTCCGGTTGGTTCCTTCACGGCCTCCTTGTACTAGCAGGTGACTTTGTGCCTTCTTCGCTCTCTCACCGATAAGTCCTAGATAGGCCCGGCCAGTATATGCTATCTTACCACCAAACGATTCGCTAAGATCGTTCGTCCCGCGTCGACCCCCTGAACATTGTAGCAACGGCTATGGGTTTTTTTTCGTTCCGGTCAGAATTGCACCCAGATTACAGGATTCTGAGCGAACGCTCGGTTCCTAGAAAGCGGTCAAAGAGCCTAGCTGCCTACTAGGTAGTAAGCTGGAGTAAAGCTCATCCAGATGCCGGGCTGTCCCGAACTCAGCCGAACCAGAATAAGAAGCCTTTGGAGTCTCGATCTGCGTCTGAGAGACTGGACCTGATCCCGCCATTCAGCGGCTTTTTCTTAGTAACAGCCTGTCATGCGGACAGAGGATCTTAGGCGAGAACCCTCCCAGCGGGCCTCGCCTGTGGTGGCTTAAATTGGCAGGCGACGGACACAACCTGGAGATTCGGAACTCTGGGGTCCTTGGGTTCCGACATAGGTTCAACTTTCCTACCGGATAAAGCAAGCCGATTTGTTTACGAGTGCAATGCGATCGATGGAGTTAGTATCGCGGAATACGCTAGGGGGTGTGGACACCCGTTCAAAAGGATGTGTGGCAAATCG